ACAATATCAACGAAATCATTAACAGTTATTTTAAAACCTATTGTTGCTTTTTTATTTCCTACACACGAAAACCAAAATTGTATTTTTATATTTAGAAGCCTTAAAATAGCGGAGAGAATTAACTTTCCATGTCTGAAAATAGACCATTGAAATGTATCAAACGTGTGTGTGTGTGTGTGTGTGTGAGTGAGTATATGTGTGTGTGTCTGTGTGTGTGTAAGAGTATGTATGTGTGTGTGTGTGTATGTGTGTATGCACGTGTGAATGTTTAAAAATCGTTTGTATGCTGACTTTGAGTATTAATTGATGTAAACGATGATTATTATTATTGTTGTTGTTGTGGTTGTTGTTATTGTTGTTGTGGTTGTTGTTGTGGTTGATGTTGTTGATGCTGTTGTTACGACAGTGATGATGGTGACGGAAGCTGAATAAAAGAATGAAAGAACAGAAAAATGTGATAAGCAATGGATGGATTTATTGGTGAATGAATGAAGGTCGGAAGGAACGATTAAATAAACAAACGAATGAATGAATGAATGAATGAATAAATGAATGAATGAATAAATGAATGAATGAACGAACGAACGAACAAACGAATGAAACGATAGATGGATGGATGGATAAATTGATTATTCCAAGAACAATAACAATAGCAGTTCACAATAGGTCATTTTATGCATTTGCAAGTTATCTTTCTCTCTCCCTCTCTCTCTCTCTCTCTCCCTCTCTCTCTCTCTCCCTCTCTTTCTTTCTCTCTCTCCTATTTTCACAAACACAATTTGTATATTTTTCATTGAAAACTATAAATAGGAACAAAAAAATTAGAGGTGTCCTATGTTTAATATTAATAAAAGACAGAATGAATGAATGAACGAATGAATGAAAGAGCGAACGAACGAACGAATGAATGAATGTATGAAAGAATGAATAAATGAATGAATGTGTGTGTACGTGTGCATGTCCGTGTGTGTGTGTGTGTGTGTGTGTGTGTGTGTGTGTGTGCGTGTGTGTGTATAACCTGGGACCTCTAAAATGTTTTTTGAAGAATTTAAGGAGATTTTATTTATGACCTCAGTCGCCTTTTAAACGCTGATGCTAGTGATTATGATAGAAATACAAGCACACACACATACATACACACGCACATACAGACACACGCACACACATACAAACGCACGCACATACATATACACGCACACACATACATACACAAGCACACACATACACACACACGCACATACATACACAGTACTAACATGCTGTTTTGCTATAGGTCCAGACATGAGTCTAACAAAATCTGGGGAGGAATAATAATAATAATAATAATAATAATAATAACCACATCAAAACATTAAGTTTTAATAAAAAATTAAAAAAAATCCGAACCTTCATAAAATATTTTATCTTTGTTTTGGACCCCGGCTGTTTTCATCATATTATCGACGTCCTTTTTGCTGAGGTTCATTCCGACGTTTTTCATCGTCCGTTTCAACTCTGATTTGTCTATGTAACCGCTGTTATCCTGGTTTATTTGGTGTTTTTTACTTCTGTTATTGTTCTTATTGAATATGTTACAAGTATATAAATGAACAAACGATTGAAACATATGACGGTGGTGATGGTGATGATGAAGATGATGATGGTGATGATGATGACGATGAAACACTGGCAACATCTGATGAACAAATAAACAATATTATATTGGAAGAAAGAAAGAATGGATGATTGATTGATTTATCGAATGTATGAATGATTGATTGAATAAATGAATGAATGAATGAAAGGAATGAATGAATGAATGAATGAAAGGAATGAATGAATGAATGAATGAATGAATGAATGGAATGAATTAATGAACGAATGAATGAATGGAATGAATGAATGAATGAATGAATGAATGAATGAATGAATGAATGAATGAATGAATGAATGAATGAATGAATGAATGAATGAATGAATGAATGAATGAATGAATGAATGTAGGTACAATTGATAGCGTAAATAAATTATGTAGTAACATGACGTATGTAAGAACAAATGAATGAATGACTGGATAAATGAATGAACAGATGAATTAATGCATAAAAGAACTGACAAATAAGTAAATGAATAAATGTTTGAACGAACGAACGAACGAACGAACGAACGAACGAACGCAATGAATGAGAAAATATAACAAAAATATTACATATGATAAATATCAAACAAGAATTGATGAAAAGATCGACTGAGTGAGAGTTAACGACAAATAAAAGAATGAAAGTAAAGGTAAATAATAACTAAATGATTATTATTATTTTTGTTGTTGTTGTTGTTGTTGACGTCAATGAAAGTTATAAATAGCAGGCTGGCACTGTAGTTGTTACAGTGCAACATTATTACATTATTCTTGCCAATTCTGGGCAATGTAATGTGATCTTTGAATCATCTTGTAAAATTGTAAAATTTCAATTTCTGGGTCTCTCTCTCTCTCTCTCTCTCTCTCTCTCTCTCTCTCTTAATTTATTTTTATCTAACCCAACTTTTTTCTCTTTCTCTAATTCACTCTTTCTTTCTCTGTTTCAATCTCTCTCTCTCTCTTCCTCTCTCTCACTCTCTCTTCCTTCCTCTCTCCCTCCCTCCCTCTCTCTCTTTCTCTCTCTCTCTCTCTCTCTCTCTCTCTCTCTCTCTCGTATGTAGGCATGTTTGCAAGTAATCTAATTAAATATATCAAGAACATTTTTTGGACTAAACTGGTTTCTTTGTCAGCTACAATAGTCATGTGAATGGTGAAGAATTATATTTAAAATGATATTAGCGACAAATAGACAAAAATATGATAATAAAAATTAGTTAAAAGTATAGTTCAATTATAGTTGAAACAACAAACAAACAAACATTTACTTTGCCAAAACACACATACATACCACCAAACAAATATACAAACACACACACAAACATACATACAAACAAACAAAAAACATACATACATAAAAACAAACAAGCAAACAAACACACACACTAACACATATACAAGCCAACATACATACATATATATACTGTACCTTATCAAAAGCATTGAAGAGTAATCTGAATTCTGTACTCTTTTCAATTGGAGCCTCCAATCTTGAGCCCATCATCTCCATAAATTCATTCATGTCTATTAAACCATTCCCTAAACAATTTGTTTAAAGTGTATTATGATAACAAATCAAATATGATTATGTGTGTATCTGTGTGTGTGTGTGTGAGTGCGTGTGTGTGTGTTTGTGTGTGTCTATGTAAGAAACAAGTGTTGTTAGGTATGAGTGAATAACTATTTAGGAAATCATTAATGTATTAAATTAATGAATAAAAATACCAACTATCAACCCATCCCACCCACCAAACAAACAAACACACAAACACACACACACACACACACACATATACACACACACACAATACACTAACCATCCCTATCAACTTTTTTAATCATCTTTTTACATTCATCATCTGAAACATTATGCCCTAAACTTTTGAGGACAGTTTTAAGTTCACTGGCTGTTATGCTGCCATCGCCATCTTTGTCAAACAGAGCAAATGCTTCCTGCAAAGCTTTTAAATAATTTTTAAAATAAATTAAATTTAAATCATTTATTCATGTATTTTGTATTTCATTATTTAAATTTAAAATAATAAATTAAAGAATTTAAAACATAAAATGCAAATTAGAAGCTAATTAGGTGGATAAAATCATGGATGCAGAGACAAAAAAATCAAACATAACTTTAGAATTATGAACAAATTATGGAATTAGTCTATTTCTTGAATTTAAAATTTAAATTTAAAAAATTAAAAACCGGAATTAAAATGAGAGGAAAAAAACTTCATACCACGCAAAAACTAACCTTTTTTATTCATTTTAATTGAAAAATTATCGTTGAAAATAAAGAATTTGATGCAAATTTCATTCAAAATTATGACTTAGATGAACATTTTGTTTAAAATTTTCACGCAAAGCCCAAATTACGGAATGTAACTAAAAATAGACTTACATATATTCAGCCTCATTTTGTAGCCAATAACTTTTTTCATATTTTTGAAAATTATAATTTAAATATTAGTAAATAATATTCTCCGATTGGAATCAATTTTCTGTAATAATTCTTTAATAATATATTACACTAGTTATTAAATTTACAAATATTTTCTATATTTGTTAATAAATCCAAATAAAATACAGTTTTGCTTAAAATTCACTAAAAGCTTATTCAACTATTGATATGTTAGGCAGAAAAATCACCTATATATACAACATTTATGTATATATATGTATAATATTCAACATTGTTGTGTAAATATAAATGTGTTGTCAAGTGTTAGCTTGAGTGGATATAACCTCATGACAATAATAATGAAATTAACAACAACAATAATAACAACAACATTAATATTAGGAATGGCATTAGGAAGAAGAAGAAGAAGAAGAGTATAATAGATAGATAGATAAATAAATAATAATTATAGATAAATTGCTCATTACTAATTGTAAACAAAACTGGTGATTGTATGTTATGTTAAACACACGCGCACACACGCGCACACACACACACACACACATGTTTTATCTTTTTAATATATATACGTGTTTGTGATTTATCTCAGCCATTACTTGATAACGTAAATTAAAATTCACATAAACAATCTTATACATACACACGCATATAAACATACTCATACACACACACACACACACACAAATATGCAAACATGCATACTTACATATATACAGACTTTTTTACAGTCTATTATTCAAATGTATCATATAGAGGTGGGAATGGGAGGGAAAATCGCGGGAATCCCATCGTCCCCATGGGAATAGGTAAAACTTAATTTTCGGGGATGGAGATTTTCGGTAATAGGGAATCGCAGCTCTGAAATTGGGAACCACGGGCGGGAATAGGAGAAGATGGGGGGAAATGACATATATAACCTATATCTCAATATAACTCTATATAACCCTTTGTAACTCTATATAACCCATTATAACTTATATAACTATATATAAACCTATATAACTCTATATAACTATATATAACTATACAAAAACCTATATAACTCTATTCAACTCTATATAGCTCTATACACCTTTAAACAACTAATCAATCAATCGATAATTCATATGTTCATTTTTTCATTCATTCACTCATTCTTCCAATAATATGAACAATTCAGTTTATTTGCATAATGACTGGATAGAAGCCAATTTTTTTCGTTCTGTGGTGTGATAATGAGTCTGTGTGTTTATTTGTATGTATGTATGTGTGTTTATATGTGTGTGTGTGTTTGTTTGTTCGTTTGTTTGTTTGTATGTGTGTTGGTTCCGTGTGACTTAATTGCCAACAGAAAGCTTTTAAAAAGACCTCAATGGATATATATCGATGATGATGATGATGCATCATTCAAATGGTTATTATTTCTTCCTCTTTCTTGTTCATATTAAATATTTTGTTATACATTCAACTGTGTCTTTAGGAGCCGTGTTTAGAAACGTTGACCAAGTGTGATTTTCGAATCACTTTGCTTCACATGAATTTGAACTCGGGCATAACGTGACTGGACCAGCAAAATTTTACCAGAGTAAAGGAAAATAATGCTGACTGTTAGTCGATCTGCAGTCAGATTAACTCGACAAAGTTTAAAACCTGCTCATGAAATTTTCCATCAAAAGTCACAATCCCCCTCATCGATCGTCTCAAGTGAGCAAAATAACTTTTTCTCACAAATCGAATAATAATAATGTTATTGACAATAGTAGTAGTAGTTGTTGTTGTAGTAGTGGTAGTAGTAGTAGTAGTAGTAGTAGTAGTAGTAGTAGTAGTAGTAGTAGTAGTAGTAGTAGTAGTAGTAGTAGTAGTAGTATCTGTTTGTGTTGATAAAGTAGTTCATTCATCTATAATGAAAAAAAAGTAGATTTAATATTAAACAGAAATCATTCTTAGAATGCTTACAACTATAAACATGGCTTAAACACACACACACACACGCACACACACGCACGCACACACACAAATAGATAAATAAAATGATAAAAAATTGCTCTATTGAAGATTATAGATTTTCAAAATACAAACAAGACCAATATTCATTTGCGATTCATTTATTATCGTTATTATTATTATTATTACTATTATTATTGTTATTATATAATTTTAATCAATTTTCTTCATAATTAAAACCATTCGTCAAAATTTTTAATTTTTTTCAATCGTTCGTTCATTCGTACATTCATTCATTCATTCTCTCAGCCAGTCAGTCGTTTCATTCATTAAAAATCATTTAGGATTTCTTTGGAAAGCAAACTGTCTTTTACGCTGCAAGAAATGTTATGATTATTATTAATTATATTATTGTTATAATTATTATTATATTATTATTATAATATGTATATTATTGTTATAATTATTATTACTGTTATTATTATTATTAATTCTTCCTTAATTAATTAACTGTTGAACCATAATAAATGTAGTCACTACTAAGCGCAATAAAAATTTCTATTAACATGTAGGGGTACCATTCAGTACTTATTCACAAATACTTTTCTCACCAATCCAGTGAGGGTTTTTTCAGTCAGGGAGCCGCCATTTTTAATTTGGCCCCCAGCCCCGGCATCATTATCATCAACTCCGGTGGTCGCACTATCATTACTATCATCAGCGCCGTCGTAGTAGTAAAACATCCAAGAAATATCATATTCATCATCGTTGCTAATACCACTGCCTTTGTTATTATTATTATCATCATTGCCATTATTATTATTATTATTATTATTATTATTATCATCATCATCATCATCGTCATCAGTATCTGTGCATTCTTTATCGGTGAAGTGATTAAAAACGTCATCACTTCTTATGCCGTCCGTCACGTTAAAGTAGTACGTCACTGATGACCTAGCGCCTGCTGATGATGATGACGATGATTGTGATGATGATGATGACGATGATGACGATGATGATGGTGATGATGATGATGGATTATTATTATTATGATTATTGTTATTAAAGTTTTTACGAGGCTGGTGTGATGATGGCATGAAACTGGTAACAATTCTTAAGAATTGAAATAAGAGCAGTGTCAAAAAGAGGAAAGAAAGATGAAAAGAAAAAGAAAGAGAGAGAGAAGAAGGAAGAAAGAAAGAGAGGAAGAAGAGAGAAAGAAAAAAAGAGAGAGAGAGAGAGAGAGAAAACTAAGTAAAAACCCCAAAAGACCAGCTCATTCCTACTAACTTTCGCCAGCGGAAAATGTTTCTATGAAGAGCGGGATGCAGCTGGCCGTCATGACGACGATGTGGCTCGAGTCGTTGTCGCCAGTCCACAGAGTAACCGGAATCCCTAATCCAAGATGGCGGTGGCCGACCATTTTTGCGTCATCTGGCGAGTGAAATCATTTGTTTGACGTAATCTTTTGATTGCTTTCACTATCAAAGGGTCAATCTTGCAAAGGATTCGTTGAATGTTTCCGTGAATGTTTTCCGTTTGTCGTATTTGATGAACGCTTATTGTGTTTTTGTTATTTACATTTTTCTTATTCCTCTTTCTATCACACTTTTTGTCTCTGCCTGGCCTGTCTACACGTCAGCCTGTCTGTCCGCCTGTCTGTCCGCCTGTCTGTCTGTTCATCTCTCTCTCTCTCTCTCTCTCTCTCTCTCTTTCCAACTTTTTCTACTCTCTCTAATAAGAAGAAACCTCACAGACGCACATGCAAGTGTCGTGTCTCATTTGAATACAAATACACTGACGTACAAATGAATACACAGACACAAATACACAAACGTACTCAAGCATGAGGGCAAATAAACACACATACACAAACAGACACAAACACAGACAGACACAAACACACATACACACACACACATACATACAAAGGCACACATAGAGACGGACAGGAAAACTTGAAAGTTTAAAAATGAATTCATTTTGTATAGTGGTCTGAGAGTGAGAAAGGAAGTACTTAAGTAAAAAAAAATTGTAAAAAATGAAGTTCGTTGGTATAAATTTATTTTTATGGCGCTGCATTCTACTTCCCTACTTGCGCCAACATTACACTTATTTACTGCCAAGGACTCAACTTTTTCCGTGTTTTAATGTTTCTTCTAAATCTTTACTCTCTTAACGCATGAATGACTGAATGAATGAATGACTGAATAAATGAATGACTGAATAAATAAATGATTGATTGAATGAATGAACGAACGAATGAACGAAAGAACGAATGAATAAGAACCTGGTAAACAAGATCTGGGAAGCGCATCGCTATTGTTGATTGGGGCTCTGAAGCATTTCTTACCCCGTGATATCAAAACTTGCTTCTGATTGGTTGAAATAATTTATTCATTTTCATTACTTGCGTCTGATTGGTTGAAATGTTTTATCCATTCTTTAAAATTTTCAATATATTCGTTAAAACAAAATCTTCTCTATGTTTTTCATTCATTCATTCGTTCGTTCGCTCATTTATTCATTCTTTTATCATTTTTTATTTATCCATCAATCCCTTTACCCATGTATGCAATTTTTTTTAATTCATTCAATCATTCATTCATTCAATCGTTCATTCATTCATTCATCATTCATTCAATCAATCATTCAATCATTTATTCATTCATTCACTCATTAATTCATTCAATCAATCAACAATCAATCTATTTCCATCCACTCATCTTTTTATTCATCCATTCATTCACCAATCATTCATTCATTCCTCCATTCATAATCCTTCCTTCGTCCATCAATCATTTAATAACATGGCAGGTATTGTACGTAATCTGGAGGAGTATGTTGTTGATGATGATGATGGCTATTGTGATGATGGTGATGATCACGGTGGGGATGATGATAATGATCATGGTGGTGGTGGTGATGATAATGATGGTAATATTTCTTCTTTGACTAAGGCATAAACGCTGCTCACACGCCACAAAATTACTTTGAACATAAAATATTAGGCATTTGTATGTGCGTGTGTGCACGTGTTTCTCTGTGTGACTGTGTGTGTGTGTGACTGTGTGTGAGACTGTGTGTGTGTGTGTGTGTGTGTTTATCTGCGCGTGTCTGTGAGTATGTTTGTGTTTGTATAGGTATGCACTCGAATTTTTTTAAAATAACATGCCGGATACTCTTCTAAACATTACACCAGCACATACACACAGACACCCAGACACACACAGACATACACACACAGACATACACAGACATACACGCACACACTGACATACACACAAAGACATACACACACAGACATACATTCTTGTGATCGAAAAAAGCAAATCTCCCGTCGGCTAAATTTTGCGACGCGAACATCCCGTTGGTGTAGTCGTGACGGTGCCACTCTGAGGTGGTCCTCTCGACTATTCGGCCAGATTTCATGCTGAATGTCTTTTCATTGGTGACGGTTATTCCTGGTAATGATGGCGATGATTATGATGATGATGATGACGAAGACGATGATGATGACGAAGACGATGATTACTGTTAATATTCTAATTATAACAATTCAGTTTTTATCGACCATGGTATGCCATCTTCAACAAACTCTAAAGGTTGTTAATGTAAAATAATAATAATAATAATAAAATTAATAATAATAATAATGATAGCGGCACCAACCTTCCCATTGCAAAGGCATACAACATTTTTTTCCGCCATCAACAACAACACCGTTATCATAACCACCAGCATTATTATTATTATTATTATTATTATTATTATTATTATTATTATTATCTCCTCGTGACGTCATCGTCATCATCAATATCGATATAGCCGATGATAATATTATCACACCTCTGATCATCTTCATCGTCATCACTTGGGCTGAAAGGAAAAAATTCATTCATCCATTTAGCTGGGGTTGGCAAGCACTGTTATTGTGTTTTTATTAAGGATATTACTACTGCTGCTGCAGCTACTACTACCGCTACAACCGCCACTACTTTTGTTTTTATTACTAATATTCTACTACAAACGATGTTAATAGCATTTATAATATTAATAATAATAACAATAATAAAATATTATTTAAGTAAAAAGATTTTTTTTTCATTTAAAATAATGAAAGTGTGATGATTAGAAGACGGTGAGTTGGGCAAGCGGTTGGTTCGAGGCGATGCAGAAGGAAAATCTTAATTTGGAAATATAAAAAAATGTTGTTCATTTATTCATGCATTCGTTCGTTCATTCCTGCATTCATTCATTCATTCATTCGTTCGTTCATTCATTCATTCAATCATTCGTTCGTTCGTTCGTTCATTCATTCAATCATTCGTTCGTTCGTTCGTTCGTTCGTTCGTTCGTTCGTTTATTCTTTTCCCCATCTACCCTTTCATCTATTTATACATACAAGGGCTTACAGAAGATTGAAATAACGATCAGATGTTGATTGGCCATATAAATGCCGACACGCTGTCTCGCACGCACGCACATATACATACACACACATACATACATACACACAAACACACACACACACACATACATGCACACACACACACACACAGTGGCGGTTCTAGGAGGGCTGGGAGACCTCTCGGTTTCGAGCAGTGTTGTTATTAAATGTCAGTCTTCTTTCTTTCATTCTCGTGCCTTATCCTCTCAGGACATTGGCGACCATCGACCTCCACAAAACCCGATCTTCAACACTTTGTAGTAGTTGAAATGTGGTGATATTCAACAAGTGACACAAGGGCTCCACGAATGTTATTCGTTGTTGACCGCGATCTCTTTTCCCTGCAATCTTTCCACTCCAGTAGTTGTCAGTTTTTCCATTCTTTCCTTCCGCACGATGTGACCAAAAAAGTTTTACTGCCTCCAACGGATTATCTGTAGTAATTTTCTCTTTTAAGTCAGTAAAACTGTCAGTAAATGTCAGTAAAATTCAGATTTTTTTGGTGTTTGCCACTGTTAGTTTTTAGACACGAATCGTTATAAACCAGGCACTGTAATTGGATTGCTTTTGGGAATGTGACCCTGATACTGGTAGTTTTGTTACAAGATTCATGCAGCACTCAATCTCTCTCGTGAGCATGAGTATGTATGGCTTGAATCGAACGGAAAGTTATCATCGTGAACAATGTGCTATAGTTCGAATTGTCGCCCTGGTACATTGAATTAGGCTGGTAGAAATTTAAAATTATACTTTCTTCAGCCTAATAACAACTGTCTCACAAACGTTTGAATTTTTGTTACCAAAATAAAATTTCGTATGCATGTTCGTTTGAATGTCTGCTTCACTATCTGTCTCTGTTTGTATTATACTTTAATTAATGTTAATAAAATGATAGTAATAATAATTGACACTAAGAGAAATAAAAATGTAACTCACCTTGAGACAGAACATGCAAAATAATTTTCGTTATTTATTATTTCTTATTTTGATGTCAATTTGCTATAAATTTTCTCAATAATAACGAATATATAACAATTTATAAAGACAATGATGATGATGATAATTATTATTGTTGTTGTTGTTATTGTTGTTGTTATTATTATTATAGTTAAGTTCCAGAAATAAATTTTTAAAACCAACTTTATGGGAGACCCGTTCAAAAAATTTTGCGAGTGTAACACGACCAAACGTCCTTTAAATTCTTCTCTCTCTCTCTCTCTCTATTTCTTTCTGTTTTTCTTCATTTCTCTCTTTCTCTCCTCTCTCTCTCTATTTCTTTCTGTTTTTCTTCATTTCTCTCTTTCTCTCCTCTCTCTCTCTATTTCTTTCTGTTTTTCTTTATCTCTTTCCTCTCTCTCTCTTTCTCTCCTCTTTCTTTTTCTCTCTCTCTCTCCCTCTCTCAGTTAATCAATTCGTAAAACTAATTGAAAAACCTCGAAAAAAAGTCGTTTTTTTGTTATCATCCTCCCCATCATCCTCTCCATCATCATCATCATCACCATCATCATCATCATTTCTCTATTCGACTTTTCAGATTTTTGTTACAAGTGTTCTAAGGCGTGACAGGCGTGATATAAGAGATAATGATGACGTTGTGATGATATAGATGGATGATGACGATGATGACGACGACGACGATGATTTGATCCAGAATCAATTGTTTTTTTTGTAATAAACTTATCTTTTAGCCTTAGCCTACCTTTATAATAAACTATTCTCAGGCTCTAGCTTAGCCTACCCTTGTAACTCAGCTCAGTTCTTAAGCTTCAGATTCAAATCTCAACTACTTATGTTTAAATGGTTTAGCTAAAACTTAAAAAAAGAAGATCAAACGAGTAAATTGTAGAACAAAATATACCTCTACACCAGCCAGCAATCAAATAAATGAATGATGCATGTGTGTGTGAGCAAGCTACCGCCTTGTACTATGCGATGATTCCTTCGCGTATAACTATGAACATTTATTATTGAAACTTTCCTATTGCAGACCAGACCAGGCTTTTCTCACTTAACAGTTGTAAAATATAAAGTAAAAAAATATATTACATTTATATATTTTTTGAGAGTGGCTGTTTGCTGATTGTTGATTGCCTCACGGAAAATCGGATATACAAAATGTACAAATTTGTTAGTGTAATGCCTTATAAACGTACAAGATCACTATCCCCGTCGATATCCCAATGAAATGAAATTGAGAAATTTTTTGAATGTCAAGGCCGATGCATGTGATTTTGTATATGTGAACGTATGTTTGTGTCTATGTACGTTTGTGTGTATGTCTATGTTTGTGTCTAAGTATGTTTGTGTGTATGTCTATGTTTGTGTCTAAGTATGTTTGCATGTGTGCATGTATTTCCGCTCATTAAGTCCGGTGACGATGAAGATGATGAAGATGGTGAAGATGAAGATAATGTTATAGTGATGATGGTGGAGAACATTTCAAAAGATGGAAGCATTTGAATTGACACTTAACTTGAATCTGTCATCGAGAATTTCGTGACTTGAAAGTAAGCGTGTGTATGTGTGTGTGTGTGTGTGTTTGTGTGTATGTGTGTGTGTGTGTGTGTGTGTGTTCATGACATGTGTGTATCTTTATATGTGTGCGTATATGTGTGTGTTGTGCATGTATTTTATTATTATTATATATATATTATATATGGGCTAGGATTAAGTTTTCTTCTACTACTACCACTGTTGCTACTACTACTACTACTACAACAACTACTACTACTACCACTACTACTACTACTACTACTACTTCTACTGACTACTACTACTACTACTTCTACTATTACTACTACAGCTTCTACAGCTGCTACCACTAACACTACTTAAATAGTTAATAATTTACTTCTACAGAAGGTGCATAAATAAATAATTATTTACATATATTCTGATATGAAGACAAGACTTTAAGAACAATTATAATTGGATTGGCTAAGTGTTTTTCAAGTGGATTTGTTTGTTAAAAAAAAAGCTCAGCACATCTCTCATAAAACTTAAGTTTATTTTTTCAATCAAAACATTTAGAGTGCCGAAATTTGAAATAAAGTCATCTTTTAAATTATTTAATGTTCAACCGGACAAAATGATGAAATTAGTGCGCAAAAATATTTTTAAAAATTATTTATCTTTTTGCGTTTGTCGTTCGAAAATTTTAGCAACTTCAACTCGTCACTTTCAAGGTTTTTTAATTTTTTAATACTTAAATACTTAATTACTTAATAGTTAATTAATTTAATTTTAATTTTTAAAAAGTCGAAGTAAAAAACTATCAGATGTTGAGATGAAATAACAGACATGACCTTTAAATATTTTAGAATTAAGGAGTTAGAACTAAAAAGTTATCTTGGCTAGGAATGTCAATTGCTCAATTTATTAAAGATTAACATTAAATTAAAAAAATTAATAAACAAATACTATCATTATATCATTAATTATTACTATTATTATATTAATATTTATATATTTATATATTACCTCTGATTTTACTCACTACTTTTGTTTTGTTTTGTTAGGCAATATGATAGTATTGTGATTGGGAATTGGTTAGGTTGGGATGAATTGAATTACCAAAAAACCTGCATTCAGTAAATAAATGCACATTTAGAATTTTAATTCATATTTAGTGTGATGATTTTATTTAAAAAAAATTACAGATTGTGCTGATGAAGATGAAAGTTTGGAAGAATTGTTCCCCCGGCTATCTAAAATTCGACATTCAGTCTTCATCATACAGCCAAGTCGATCTATAAATAACTTATTTCAATTTTAAACAATTTTCTTTTTAAATTATTGTTGTTATTGTTAATACTGTTATTATTATTATTATTGTTATTGTTGTCATTATTGCTGTTGTAATTACTTTGAAACATTGGGATGTATAATTTGTTGGTGCTTTTTGGTTAAACTTAACAGCTTGATGAAGTTTAATGCTTGAATGAATATTTTTCAAAATAAACATCCATTCAAATTTGGAATTATTTGCAACAGTGTAACAAACAAACAAATCATTTCAATCAGTTAAACCAACCATTCAAACAACCAATCATCAACAAATCAATCAACCAACCGACCAATCAATCAAAATTAACCATTCAGACATGAGGGATGTGCCAGAAAAAGCAAAAAACACGTCGGCCAATCACCAACTGTCTGAATTGTGTTCATTGGTTCACTCCATTCCTGATTGGCTGGTCATTGATAAAGTGATTATCATATTCAGCATTTTAATTTTTGTTATTATTGTTGCGTTGTTCACGGATCAAACGTAAAATAATTTATTCATACTTTTAAAAATTAAAGTGAATGTTTTGAAAATAATTAGCATTTGAAATTTCAGTACCATTTGAAAGTCCAGAAAAATGTTTTCACTTGAATGTTGGTCAGTGTGATTATGTGAAGGAAAAGTTTCAATGCATCTTTTTTGACGGATGTTGTTTTTGCGTGGTCGAGCTGGCGACGAAACATGCCAGCGCCGATTATTATACACTCCTTCGCCGGACCGACAAATTTGCTGAGCACTGAATAAGGAGAGCCAATCAGCCAAATGATCAGTCAACCAATCAATCAACCAACTAATCAATTGGCCAACCAATCAAATTTCTCCCACCCACCCATCAATCAATCGCCCAGGCAATTCACTCCTTGAAATTCCTCGACAAGCAACACGTATTTGGTAAGGGCAAACTCGAAGAACTCCGCCAGCACGTAAAATCTTCGAGTCTGCACATCACTGCTATCGTCATGGGGATGCCTTCACTAAACACTAATCAACTCTCTAATCTCCAACATCTATTTAACCTGCCTGTTTATGATAGGTCGGTAATGATGATGATGATGATAATAATAATAATTTTATTATTATTATCATTATTATAGATACACGTTAGTTTTGGAAATCTTCCGAGCTCGAGCCTCGACGAATGAGGCCAAGCTGCAAGTTTCAATGGCTGAAATTAATTACATAAGGTTGCAATTGTTATAACAATAGTCATTATAATAATAATGGTGATGATATTTATCCATTTATATTTACCTTCCTCTCTCACTCAATTAATTATCAGATGCACCGACAACAACAACAACACATACATACATGCATCCCGTAATATTAATACAATGGTACTAACAACAACAACAACAACGACAGATACCATCTACACGGTCTACACAGGGGAACTTTAGACTTCCAAACTGATGCGTTAGAGTTAGTCGGCGGGACTTCTGAAGTGCCTGTGCAGACGAGGAAGATGTTGTTGAGAGTGAGTGCCGCTACTGCTGCTGCTGCTGCTACTACTGCTGCTGCTGCTGCTGATGATGATGATGATGATGTTGATTGTGATAATGATCACGATCGTAGCTGACATTGTACTGGTGTGAATGGAAAGAGATCTATGCACGTGTGTCTGTTGAGGAACTTTGATTCCTTGCCACATCTGACGCTACAAACACTGCGCTACATAAATTAGATATTAGAATTGTTATTGTTATCGTCAGTAATATTGTTCGTTTGATTTATTTTTTCTTCTAAGGACAGAGAATCAAAGATTCAAAAAGAACTTGTGAAGCTGGAAAAGCAGAGGACGCTGGCCATGGAGAAGAGGCGCAAGATGAAGATTCCCTCCGTGGCTGTCGTCGGCTACACAAACGCCGGTGAGGGGGGGTTTGAATTTTTATTATTTTGGATGAACATATTCATAAACTTTGGTTGAATCTCTACAAAAATCACATTTTTTTAATTTTCGTCATTCCAAATGCTTATGACACTGAAAGTCCCAATCAAATTTCTTACCGAAACTTATTTTTATAACTAAAATTCTCAAAAAACACTTGAAATGTTTTAACAGGAAAGACGTCATTAATAAAATCTCTAACGAAAAACGAAAATATGGCGCCAAAAAATCAACTCTTTGCCACGCTCGATATTTCAAACTTCCAAGGGTTCTTGCCGAATAGGATGAAGGTTCCTTATTTTTTATTCATTTATTCATTCATTTTTTATTCATTCATCAATTCATTCATTCATATTCCTTCCTTCGTTCATTCAAAAAAAGGTTCTTTACGTTGACACCATTGGCTTCATATCTGATCTACATCCATCTTTGCTCAATGCCTTTTCATCAACTCTACAAGATATCGCATATGCTGTTAGTTACTATTATAATTCTTTCATTATTATTATTGTTGTTGTTATTGTTAATATTATTATTACTGTTGTTAGTAATTGTAGTAGAAGTAGCAACAGTGGTAGTAGTAGTAGAAATAGTAGTAGTCGTAATAGTACAACAGTAGTAGTTGCTTTCCATACTTTGTATTCTTTCCACATTTATTTCCAAAAAAGGACAATTAACATTTAGGATCTTTTGGTTCACGTGTGTGACGTTTCGCACCCAGACAGGCGTCTGCAAGATGAGGTCGTTAGACGGACCATCACTAATTTGCCGCTGATGCCGGATGAACTGCTGCGCAGTGTTGTGCGAGTTTACAATAAAGTTGACCTTCTGGGTGATAGTGAAAGGTTGGTTTGCGGTTATTTATTATATTATTATTATCATTATATTGCTACTATTTTTGTTGTTAGTAGCAGCAGCAGCAGTAGTAGTAGCAGCGGCAGCTGTTCTACTAGTTGGTGGTGCTGTCATGTCAAACCATATTTCTGTTTACAAATTGAATTAAAAAGATAATGCTAAATTCTAATAATACTAACGCGAAATTCGTCAGGGCAAAATTAGAGGAAGAAACTTTGACGTCATCGTCATCATCATCATCATCACCACCTGTACTCATTTCTGTGAAGAATGGATGGAACAGAGATGAAGTTATGATGACGATCCAAAACGCAATCATCAAAGCAACTGGACGAGTTACCAAAAAACTTAAAATACCAATAAATAGTGGTCTATTACAGTGAGCATATGTATGCGTGTGTGTGTGTATGTATGCGTGTGTATGTGTTTGTTTGTCTGTGTGTGTACGACTTTGTATGCCACGCACACAATATTATTTTATTTCATTTGTTCATTTCAAATATGATGTGTTCTGTTATCGTTATAAAAACAGTTCAATAATTTTTTAAACTAAAAACTAATGTTTTTCAGATGGTTGTACAAAGAATCGGAAGTAGAGGAAGTGACGTCAGACCCAAAAAACGCGGAGATGTACCTAATAAAAACGACAATGACCGCTCAGTCCTACGCTAAATTCATCAAAAATTTCAAACTTAAGGATAAAAATTCCTTGAGTTGAAGTTTTATCATTTGTTATTATTATTCTTGTTGTTATAATTATTTTTTTATTATTTCATTATTTATTATTTTAAATCAAAGTAAGCACAAGTTAGACGGTTCATTACATAAACCCTGTTTTGAATCCTTTTAGTGACCATAATTTGATAAAACGAGCTCTGAAAATAATTTATTTGGCGTTCTGCATCGTCAAAATGAAATCACAAAAAAGTGGTTGTGTTCTTTCTATGAATGAAAATCAATTATTATCAGTTAACGGGCCCTTTTCAAATGTTTTGTGACGTCACGAGCACTCTCACGCCTACGTCATCCCCAAATTCTGAGCGGAAAATGAACATTCCAATTCTTTTCATCGGTTTCAGATTTTTTAACCTTTCCGATCTTGCTCGGCGACGGACGAAATACCGGCATGGAAGTCGGTACGATCACGTCCCAGAGACCAGCAGCATCACTTTGCACGGAATTATACGGAGGGCGATTTAGAGCAAGATTTTCGACGTTTCCGTCGTCAATAAGGTCATAGTAGGTCGGCTTCGCAGGCGCGCTCCTGCCGTTCATGATGGCGTATGACGACGGGTTGAACTTTCGGGACGATGGCGACGCGAAAATGTTGGATCCTGAGTACAATGACGTCATTGTAATTAAGATGACGATCTTTTCTGGCATCTGAAAACACAAGTGAGATGTTTTTGTTCATATAGAATTATAAAAAATCCGTTAACATTATCACAAATTGATCTCACTAACTGACAAAGCCCCTAACAAATAAAACAACAGGGCCGGTTTGCACGTGGCGATGAGGTAGAGGCCCCTTATTTAAGCAGCTCAAATCAGTGGAGATCTGTAATCATTTGGGAAGACTGCTGGGCCGATGCAGAAAACTCTGAAGGAGCGGGCCAAATTTTGACGAGAGACAAAACAAAATTTCGTCATTTTTATTTAAAGCGGTTTTTTAATGTATAGGAAGTATCAAGTATTAAAACAACATATGTTGGTCAAATTCTCAAAATTTACAACGAAATGGTTGCTGACTATGGCCACAGTAGAGGTCCCGAAAAGACCCACAATTTCTTTAATTTTAGTGTCAATTTTGTTGTAAAAAAAAATTTGGCAACTTTCAACATTTTCTTATCTAAATCAACGTTTCAACGTGAAATTATGATAAAGTTACATTGACATTCTTAAGGAGGCCCTCCCGTTCGGATGCCCCCGAGGTAGCAGCTCTATCCGCTCCGCTTAAATCCGGTCCTTAATAACATACTACGTCACAATGTTATAAAATAATACTGTTTGTCATAAATAAATATTACTGAAATAATTTTAAGAAAATACCTTCATTTTCAGTAAAAAATTTTATGAAACCGTAAACTCAAGTTAACAGAACGTAAATTCAATATTTACAAAGCGACAGCTTTTATACGCAACATAAATCGCAAATCAAATTTCAAGTTGAAAATGACTGAATTAAGTCGTTTAACTCGTTAATTCCTCTCCAATTTATTAAATTTTGTCAAAAATCGCCTTGAAAACTTGATAAAGATTAACAAGATAATGTGAAAATTGTTAAAAAATAACGTAAAATTGCAGAAAGTTGAAGCCATTCGCCTTGCAGCTACTCGTTCATCATCCGATCTTTGCGGTTAATTACATAAAATTTAGAAGAAAAATGATTTATCTTGAAATTTATTACATTATAACTTCAAATTATGAGCGAAAAAAATTAATTAATTAATTAGTTTTATAATTAAAACTAAAGAAATAAATTCATCTCAAATTCAACTTCGGAAATAATTTGATAGAATTTTCAAGAATTATTTGGCTGACAAGATCGGCGTCAATATTCTTAAGTTTTGAGATGAACTCGCACGATATCTTTACGTTGCTGGGATTGTTGCGGACCTGATCGAAGAAATTATTTTTATACTTTATTATTAATAATTATCATAATTACCATTAATAATTAAAAATTAATATTTATTCGGTCCCTTTCTAACAGAACCAACAACAAAAATAAACTTCACTTCTCAGCAATAAGTGTTAAACGAATAAATCTGATGAAATCAACTTTACAAACAAAAGTGTCAGAGTTAATTTTTGAGGGGCCGGGTCATTTTAAACGCTTATGAGAGGGCGGTTGCAGACGAAAAGTTTGGCGGATGCGAATGTGAACGTTGAACACGTGATGACCAGTGCAAAATAATGGCAACAAGATCACATAATTATCTTTCAGCACGCTTTATAAAAAAAGAACCTTACTAAGAAAAACAATGACATCAACTAATTTTAAATGCTTTTTGAAGTACTTTCCAATCAGTATGGATATTAAGGTAAGATTGTTATAAAGCAAAAGTTGAGAAATGTTTCTGGGCAGTCGGAACCAGGAGTTGGAAATTTTTACGCGGAGTTGGAGTCAATCAAAAATATGTTTATCCAACTCCGACACCTAGTCAAAAACCAAAGAGATGAATTTTATTTTTTTTATTTAGAAATAAGATGAATAAATTGCATGAAAAAGTTATCAATAAAGTTTAAATATATATAGAACTACTGACGATTAAACAATGTAAAAATTAACAAAACGTAACGAAATCACCAAAAAACTAGCAAAAAAGTGCCAAAAGAAACCGAAAGGTACCAAAAAGTGAAAAGTACCATTTTTTCGGGTCCGAGGGCCGGGCAATCAGTTTCAAGCAACAAATTTTCAATTGGTAGAGCTTTAACTATTTTAACTTTCTGAGAACAAAATTCAACGTATGTATGAGTGTACGCGTGTATATGTGTGTATGTTGTGAAGTATGCGCATGTATAAATGAATGTATTTATATGCCAGTGTACGAGTGTATGTGAATGCATTTCGTGTAGAAATGAAAACGTGTATAATAATACACACACACCACAGACACACACAGTCATACACACGCACACACAAATATACAACTTGTTCGCTACGAGCGATAGACGGAGGTACGGAGAAGAAATAGCCCGACTGGACCCCCTCCAACGCCACCGACGGCTTTCCATCGAAGGCGTGCAAGAGAACTTTTGTAGCGTTCAACTCTTTCAAAAGTTTAACAACTGGCCGACCAGCCGAGCGGGAATGAACGTTTCTGAATCATTGATTCGTATTTGTGTGTGTGTGTGTCTGGTGTGTGTGTACCCTATACCATTTTTCAATACATGAATAGCGCTATACAAATTATATATTAATGGATTTGATAATTTAATTGTATTAGTTCATAGAGTGAATGAACAAACGATTGAAGGAATAAGTGATTGAGTGACGAAATGAATGAATGACTAAAAGAATGAACATTTTATGAAAAGAATGAACATTTAATGAAAAGAATGAACGAACGAACGAACAAATGAGAAAAGAAAAAAAATCTTCATACCATCATATACTAACATAGGTAAGTCATGATCACCAGCGAGTTTGATCTGTCCAATTTTGATTTCAATTAAATTCGTATTTAAATTTAATCAAATAATTTAATAAATACGATTGAAATCATTATCATAACATACAAACACGCACTCACACATACACACGCACACACATACACACACACTTGTTCACTGAAAACCAATCTTTGACTCTCTTTATCAGACTCTGAATGGCAGACTCTTGGCGTAAAATCCAACCCAATCTTAATTATAATTTGGAAAAATTATCATTTGTTGTTATAGTATTATTAATTATAATGATCGAATGAATGAATGAATGAATGAATGAATGAATGAATGAATGAATGAATGAATGAATGAATGAATGAATGAATGAATGAATGAATGAATGAATGAATGAATGAATAGATGAATGACTAAATGAAATTACAAAAAATTGTGATACCAATCAATTATTCAATCAATCAATAAACTTCTTAGAAATTAGTTTTTTTTACAAGTCTTGGTGAGAGCACAGTTGTATTTTTGAAAATTGCACGCTACATAAATACAAATTGATTGGTTAACCGATAGGTTAACTGATTAATCAATCAATCAATCAATCAATCATAACCGATTGGTTAACTGATTGATTGATTGATTGATTGATTGATTGATTGATTGATTGATTGATTGATTGATTGATTGATTGATTGATTGATTGATTGATTGATTGATTGATTGATTGGTAGTTTGGTAGTTTAAAAAATGTTCAACCACCTCGCCAATGCAAACAAGCCTTTCAGCATGACCAACTATCTCTGGCTTCATTTGCAAGAAATCCTGGATGGGTTTGCCCGAAAAATATTTTTATAAAATTATAAAACTAATTAATAGTAATAATTAATCAATCAACCAACCAATCAATCATTCAATCAATCAGTCAGCCAGCCAGCCTAACCTGTGAGTCAGTCAATCAACTATTCAACCAACCAACCAACTAACCAATTAAACCAAAAATGTCAAAAATATTATTAACTTCAATTGTGGCACTTCTTTGCACATCATTTGTCTCCTGGATTGAAAAACAAACAAAAACACTAAATAAACTTGTATAGTTAATTCAAAAAATTTAGAAAATGTAAATTTCAGTTAAAATAATAAATAATTTATTCAATAAATATATTAACTTATAAATATTAGTGTAAATTAATACAAAGATGAGATAAAAATTTAGGACCTGCACTGGATGAACTCCTAAACTTGGAAAACAGAAATTTGGGTGTCTGGAGAGAAAACAATTAAAAAGAATAATAAAAAAAAATAATTAGTTAATATTATTGTGAATTATTTAGTGAAATAATGACTGTATACTATGAAAGTGTACGATTGAATGATTAAAATTTAGAAAAAAAATAAAGTTTATGAAATAATCATTTAAACATTTAGTTGAAAATTTGAAATCAATCAGTCAATAACATTTAGCTAACCAACCAATAAAACATAAATCATACAACCAACAAACTCACCAACCAAACAAACAACCAACAAACCTGTTAGCCAGCTAACTAACAAACCAACCAACCAATCAAACAACCATCAAATCAACCGATACAGATACAATAGCTAACTAACCAATACCTCAGTCAATCAATCATTTAACCAACCAACCAACCAACCAACCAAACTACCTGTCAGCTAAATTAAGTATCTTGTCAGTGTCTGTAACAAATTCAGAAACTGTTATCATTCCAAGAACACCTGACTGTTTTTTAATGAAAATAAGTTTATGATTAAAAAATTTGCAATGACCATCTCACCTTTTTAGCCTCTTCTATAACTTGCTCCCTATCCTTGTTGAATTGAAAATTTAAATAAATATAATTTATTATCAATAAAAGTTAAATAAATTAAATTGAATGAATATTATTTAGTTAGTTTATTAATTAAATATAATAAAATTAAGATAAATACATGAAATAATAATTTTTAATAAAAACCTCATTAAACTCTTCGGCGTAAATGTGATTGTGGCAGTCAATGTATTTTAATGACATTTTTGAGTTAAAAATTGACAATTTTCAGGTATTTAAACTTTAAAGTTTATAGTTAGATATAAAATTAAAGTTTAAACATTTTTTTATTTAAAAAGCTTTAAAAAATCTTTATAAAGGATTTTTTAATTGAGAATCCACAAAAGTTTTAAATTTCGGATGTTTATTTTTATCCTGTTTATTTTTGCTTGTAAAAATGTCACTTTATTTAAATACGAAATAAATCACTCAACACTGTTTTGTGATCTCGATTATTTTTTAAATTGTAGACCCATTCGTGTTCACTTTTAAATATTTTAAAATCTTTAAGAATCCTCACAAATTTATTTCATAAAAGAAACTTAAATTAGTAAAACTAATAATGAAAATAAATTATTTTGTAAATTTGCTTTTTAGAGAAACAAAATTTGTTAGAAACTTCTACCAACCAACTCATACGCAAAAACACTTTTTCAGATTTCAAAGTTAGTGCAGGTGCTGCTTTTTCTAAATTAAAGAATCTCCTAACTAAAAATCTACTAACAAACACTAATCTAATTTCTAATAATTGTGTGTGATGATAGATTAGCAAAACATTAGAGATTAGATTATGTATTATATTAAATTAAATTAGTTGACTAGACTAGTAGACTACATTTGTTTAGTAGTTAGTTAGTAATAAACAGTATGATGAAGTATTAGTATGCATTTGTTTAGTTAGTACCACCTAGTAGTATTAAGTATTAGTATTTGAGTAAATTTGTTGTAATGGAGTAGTAATAACTAGAAGGGTTCTAGTCTAACCTATTTTAGCTAGATTCTAAATGTTTATTTATGAGTTATTAATTTTATTTTGTTTAATTAAAAGTAGGTGAGATATTGAAATTATTATATCAACCCCCCATCAGACATTTTATACTCTGGGGAGTATGAGATGCAAGAACCAAAGTCACCAGATGAAATGTCAGTTGCTTATTTTTTGGTAAAAATTTCCAAATTTTTTAAAAATTCATTCATTCTTCCAACTATTCAATCATTCATTTGTTGCATCCATCTATCCATTCATTCAGTTGTTAAAAAACATGAAATAAACTTGGTTTACCTAAGTTAATATTAATTTAATTTATTTTTCTGACTCAAAAATAAATTTTAAAATAATATTTCTCCCATAAATTCCAGAGTGAACATGGTGTTCATTGATAAGAACGACTGCAAGCACAACGTCAGGGGGAAGGTGGGTGATAATATCATGTATCTAGCACATAGATATCACATCGAGCTAGAAGGTTTAATTTATTTTTTATTCATTCATTCATTCATCCATTTGTTTATGCATGTATCTGTCCATCCATCTGTTTATCCACCCATCCATACATTCATTAGATCCATCAATAGTTCATGTATTCATCAATTTATAGATCACCTATTTATTTATTAGTTTGTGCATTCATCCATGCGCTCATGCATCCGTTAATTAATTCATTCATAGTTTTTTCATTCATTCACTCCATCATTCAGGCGCATGTGAGGCATCATTAGCCTGCTCAACTTGTCATGTTTATGTTTGTGAACGGTTTTTAAACAAGCTCCCCGAAGCAACCGAGAAGTAATTATGATAATGAATCTATTATTATTATCATTATCGTTATCAATATTATCATCATTATCATAATTATTATTATTATTTTATTTCGTGCCTTCATTATAATATTTATGAAATTATGATAGAAATTTTTTTAAATGTTTGTGGCCTTCCATACAGAGAGGAGGATCTACTGGACATGGCTCCTGGCTTGAAGAGTAACTCCAGATTAGGTAATAAATAATATTAATGATAATAATTTTGAACCTGGTAATGCTTTCATTCAAAAACAGTAAAGGTGATAGTAGTTGTAGTAGTAGGGATAATAGAATAACAATAATAATATCTTTATTGATAATGTATTATTACTTGTTGATTTTGTTCACATAAACACACACACATCTACAATTTATATGAATTTAATCATTAATTCCGTTATTTAGTAGTTTATTCATTCATTCATTCATTCATTCATTCATTCATTAATCGACCCATTTAGGCTGCCAAATAACACTGACCAAAGAACTAGAAGGAATAGAATTGAAGTTACCAAAGATGACGAGAAATTTTTACGTCGATGGCCACACACCCCAACCGCATTAGAAGCAGTTTTGTATGCCCGCGTGTGTGTGTGTGTGTGATGATGTGAATGATGATGATGATGATGTGTGTGGTGGTGATGGTAACGAAGATGATGGTGTTGATAACGCTATGCATAGAGCGTTCATAAATGATTATTAAATGATTATGTGATAACAATATAAGAAATGGCTTTTAAAAATTATGATGATAATGCGTTTCAAAAATACTTGTATTTTCTAATAGACATTTTCATCCTCTGAAATATCATGTAAAACAAAACTGTCACACCACCAAATATTGGATTGAATAAAAGCGTCACTCGTACAGTTCTAAAATAACGAAAAAATCACCAAAAATCCAAGTATTTTGCATTTTACGAGTTGTTTTTCGGGTTGTTTTACGAAGAAGGAGGTATGAATAGGACTTTCGGCTACCCTACCAATACAGAGTTTCTTTTACGCGTTTTTTACTAGTTTTTGCCTTTTAGGAGTTGTTTTTCAAGTTCTTTCAGAGGTTGTTTCACGAAGGAGTAAGAATGAAGGAGATTACCGTACCAATTCAGAGTTTTTCGCGTTTTACCGGTTGTTTTCTGAGTTTTACAAATTGTTTTTTGAATTGTTTTACGAAGAAAGAAAAATGAAGGGAACTGTAGAGTGAAGACTGAAGATTGCCGTACCAATACAGGGTTGGTTTTACGCGTTATTTTACGAGTATTTCGCCTCTTACGAGTTAGTCTTCAAGTTTTTTTACAGGTTGCTTCACCAAGAAGAAGAAAGAAGAAATTGTTTAATTCTTATAAAATTAAAATTTTTCTTTTGACTACCCTAACGCGTTTTACGAGTGGTTTTACGAGTTTTTAAATCATTTTACATTAAGTATTAATTTTGAGGTTACTATATGCGGTATGATTTTGATTTTAATTGACATAAAAAAATTATGATTTTACTAAACACTGTTCTTAACAAGCAATCAAGAAATAAAGAAACTAATTAACCTAAGAAATATAAACTAGGAAAAATTAATAAATTCGTACACTGATACACACGCATACATACACACAGACACACACATACATACCTACTCTTTCAGAATAGAGCATTGCACCTAAGGCGTTATAAAAATTTATTTCGCAACCAAACTCTTCAACCTAATTATCGTGTGACTCCATTTTAAAATCTTACTCTGACTCTTTTTTTTCTCTTTCCTTATCTCTCTATCTCTCTCTCTCTCTCTCTCTCTCTCTCTCTCTCTCAGTTTAACTTTGCTTCTTGTTTTTCTCAATTTCTTCATTTTTTAACTTTTGTTCATTATTTTTTATTTCTCATTTTTCCTCTTTTAACTTTTTTATCGGTTTCTTTATCCTTTCTCTTTTTCATCATCTATTTTTCTTACTCTCTCGCTCTCTTTTTTCCACTCTTCCTTACTCTCTCCTCTTTTTTTCTCTCTCTTTTTCTCTCTGGGCCTTTTACCCCTTCTCTTGAGTTGATTATTTTAATTTTTCTCATTTATCTCCCTTTTACACCCTATTTTCCTCTTCCCTTCTCTTAATATCTTTCCATTTACACTCCCACTTATTAACAAACACATACATTTACACGCAAACACACACACAGACATACAAACACACACACACACACACACATACACACACACATGATCTTCCTTCTTATCCACAGCAGATAGCATTTCGGAAAAATTTTACGCCCGGTCGAGCGGGAAAATCTGTTGTTTGTTTGTCACTGCGTCTTCGTATCTCTTGTTTGTATCTCTTGTCTGTATCTCTTGTTTGTATCCTTGTTTGTATTTTTTGTTTGTATCTCTTGTTGGTATCTCTTGTTTGTATTTTTTGTTGGTATCTCTTGTTTGTATCTCTCGTTTGTATTTCATGTTAGTATCTGTTGTTTGTATCCATGATTGAATGTTTGCATTTTTTGTATCCTTGTACTCGTATGATACTGTATGTTCGTATTTTTGCATGTTTCAGTATTTTTTTTATACGTTTTTGTATTTGCGATTGCATGCTATATAACAATTGAAACCATTCATTCATCCACTCACTCATCCATCCATCCATTAATTCATTCATCCGTTAAACTAAAATTTAAATGTAAAACATAGCGATATCTCTCTCTTATTTACGATCTTTCGATTTTTCAACTTGTGTATTTATGTGAGCTGTACAACTGATACGTGTACACGTACCTGGTTGTATGTGTGCGTGCGTGTGTGTGTGTGCGTGTGTGTGTTTGTATAGACGCACATGTTTGTATGTGTGTATGTATCCGTAGTATATAAAGGTCTTAGGCTATAAATAACACCAAGAACAACATCAATCACATCAACGACATCATCAACACACACATACATACAAACACACACACACATATATACAAACATACATACAAACATATACAAACACACACATATACAAACACACACATACAAACACACGAGCTCACAAACAAGCAGATCAGAGCAAATGCAATAAATGATTTTCTTTTATTGCTTATTTAAACAACCCAAATAACTCACATATTAATATTCATTAACGTATGCTTGTATGTATGTGTCTGATTGTTTGTATGTATGTTATTTGTATGTTTGTATTTTTTTAACTGTTTGTAGGTATGTATGCAGTATGTATGTTTGTGGGCAGATTTGTATGTATGTATTATGGTTTGTATGTATATCTGTTGGAATGTTTGTATATGTGTTTGTATGTTTGTATGTATGTTTGTATATTTGCAATGCTATGTAGTGTTTAATGAGACGGCTAAACATCAAATGTGAATGATTAGACAGCGGTCGATGATAGCATGACGATGACGACGATGATGATGTTGTTGTTGATATGATGATGATGTTGTTGTTGATATGATGATGATGTTGTTGTTGATATGATGATGATGTTGTTGTTGATATGATGATGATGTTGTTGTTGATATGATGATGATGTTGTTGTTGATATGATGATGATGTTGTTGTTGATATGATGATGATGTTGTTGTTGATATGATGATGATGTTGTTGTTGATATGATGATGATGTTGTTGTTGATATGATGCTGATGTTGT